GTGTTTCTTTGTGTTTCTGTGTCTGTTGTTGTTGTAAAGTCGTAGAGTCAGAACCAACCCATAGCAGACCTTCTGGCAGGTTTTCAGACGCAGTTAATCACATGGGAGTAGATTGCCCATCCTTCTCCCATGGAGCAGCTGGTGGTGTTGAACTGCATGCCTTTGAGATTGCAGCATAACTTCTTGCCATGAGGCCACCAGAGCTCCATTTCTGTGTCAGTGAACCTTGATTGATGGATTCAGTTAAAACTTATGCTCTGAGCAGCCTACTGTGGGAAATTTGGGCACAGACATGGCCCCAGAAAATATGTACCTTTAATATCAGCCTTTGCAAATTCATGAGCACATCTCACACTCCCTGGAGCTCTTAATCTTCACTTTTACTGCCTCATTTATGATATAAATTGAGCTGACACTTAACATGTCTACTATGTGCTGACATAACCCATGAAGTGGGTTCTGATTTACAGACAAGAAAGCTGTGGCACAGATTGGTTAAGTAACTTGCCCAAGGTCACACAGCAAATTAACCACAGACCTACAACTCCAACCCAGCAATCTGACGCAGGAGCCTGTCCTAACCACCACTCACTTGTCTCAGAGCTTTTGCTATTTCAGCAGAACCACGAGCCTGGAATCAGTTGAAGCCATCCAGTTAAGATTCCTCACTAGTCCTATATGACTGCTTTTTCTGGGTGAGGGGAAGTGGCTGGCATTCATAGATTCAGCAACACTCAAGAATCAACATCTGGTTGTATTGCAAAGAGGTGTCAAGTTGTGACAGCATGCTCTGTAAGACAATATATTGAACATTAATGTTGAATTACAAATTAGGATCATGGATCTGTTCTATTTTCAAAATTATAAAAAGATATAAACTTACTTAGACTTGAGGAATCCCACACTGAAAGTGGCACATCGGGGGTTACAGAAGATCTTTTGATGTAAGGAAAGAAAGGTTTCCCCTGTGGTCCAAGCAAGGAATGAAGTTGATGAAAGTAGGAATACCAGAGCAAGAACCCTCACCCCTCACCTGGCCATGCCTGGGCGGGACCTTTTGGATACTGAATTTAAGGAAAGATGCTTCCTGGTCACACCTAGGGGTAGATAGTCTTCCCTCTACCTTCTAACATCCTTCCCTGCCCAGGGGGTTTCGTGCTGCTGGATGGAGAGACGTTTGAGGTGAAGGGGACGTGGGAACGGCGTGGAGGTGCCGCACCAATGGGCTATGACTTCTGGTACCAGCCTCGACACAATGTCATGATCAGCACTGAATGGGCAGGCCCCAATGTTCTAAGGGACGGCTTCAACCCAGCTGATGTGCAGGCCGGTGAGAACCCCCCACACTTGAACCCACACTCCCTGGTTGCTGCTCTCAAACCCCATCTTCAGCCCTCTAACTTCTCTCATACAGACTCCAAACTCTTGGGGTGGTTGAGTACTCTGATCTACTTGAACATCTTTCGGATTCCTCCAACCTATTTTCAGCCTTCTACTCAGGACCATGACCAAATCAAGTCAGGCCTTCCCTGATTTAAGCCTCTTGTCCACGCCCACCCCAGGGCTGTACGGGAAACACTTACACGTGTGGGACTGGCAGCGCCATGAGATTATACAGAGTCTGCCCTTGGAGGACGGACTCATCCCCCTGGAGATCCGCTTCCTGCACAATCCAGACGCCACCCAGGGCTTCGTGGGCTGTGCCCTCAGCTCCAACATCCAGCGCTTCTACAAGAATGAGGTGACATGCGGCCTCTGGCTGTCCCCTTCAGCAATGCTCTCTGCACCTCTGCCCAGTCCTCTGCCACAATACAGGGAGCCACCACCCAGGTCCCCTCTCCCCAACTCCAACAGCCCAGACTTCTCCAGAAATTAAAAACACAGCCATAGGGCCTTCTCCTCTTGTCCTAGGCCCCAGCCAACTTCTACCTGAACCTTAACTGTGTGTTTTTTCATCTTAAAAACTAGTTCATGAGCTCCTGCTTTACACTGGGCACTGTGTTAAGTGCAGTGAATACAGTGTTGTTGTTATGTTCCTTTGACTCATAACAACATACCTGACCCTCCAGCAAATTTTCAGAGGCAGTAAATTGCACAGCAGGAGATTGCCCATCTTTCTCCTACAGAGCAACTGATGGATTTGAACCATGTACCTTTGGATTAGTAGTGTAACCCCTTACTACTAAGCCATCAGATATAGCAGTGAAGCAGATAAGACCCTGGACTTGCTTGAAAGTTGCACCATAGTGGCTAGAAGATCCTGTATCTGCTGTCATCTCCAAAGTTTTGGAAAGATCCAGATATGACCATTGTCCACCTAATCCCACCCCAACTTCCCAATGCAGGGAGGCACTTGGTCAGTGGAGAAAGTGATCCAGGTGGCCCCCAAGAAAGTGAAGGGCTGGATCCTGCCTGAAATGCCAGGTGAGTGCAGGGGAAGGCAGGTGAGTTAAAAGATTAGTCCCAACCTTTGGAACAAGAGTAAAGCCTGTCGACACCCCCTCCTCAGGCCTGATCACTGACATCCTGCTGTCCCTGGATGACCACTTCCTGTACTTCAGCAACTGGCTGCATGGGGACCTGCGGCAGTATGACATCTCTGACCCCAAGAAGCCCCGCCTCACAGGACAGGTGGGGCCTCTGTAGGATGATGAGAAAGAGAAGAAAGAGGTCAAGAGTCTGGGGATAAGGAGATAAAAGGGGAGGGGCAGAAAAGCCAAAAGTGGAAGCCTAAGGGTAGGACAGGCCCAGGAGGGTGGGGACGGGGGCCAGCATGGGGAATGAGGGTGTAATGTCTCCCTGTCTCCCCTCTGCCTCCGACCCAGCTGTTCCTGGGGGGCAGCATTGTTAAGGGAGGCCCGGTGCAGGTGTTGGAAGACCAGGAGCTACAATGCCAGCCAGAGCCTCTGGTGGTCAAGGTGAGCCACTCCTCCTGCTCGTAATGCACCCTGGACCCCTGCTTCAGCAGCAGCAGCAGCAGCAGCAGCAGCATCTGAGCTTGCCTTTCCCTGAGTGGGGGGGGTTGCCCATGGTCCCTCCTGGGGGTCTGAGTGTCACCCTGGGTGTTACGCTGATTTTTCTCAAGGGGAAGCGAGTGGCTGGAGGCCCCCAGATGATCCAGCTTAGCTTAGATGGGAAGCGTCTCTACGTCACCACATCGCTGTACAGTGCCTGGGACAAGCAGTTTTACCCAGATCTCATCAGGTGAGAAGCAAGCAACCTGGACTCCCCTCCCGAATCCTTCCCAGAAGCCTCCCAATCCCCCTCCATCGTGGGAGCCCCTTCAGACCCTGATCCTACTAGGGTCCACCTTAAACTCAGAGTCAGGGGGAACAGGGCGGCCACTCTGGCTTCTTTCTGACCCCTTCCTCTTCTTCCACCAGGGAAGGCTCTGTGATGCTGCAAATCGATGTAAACACAGAACAGGGAGGAATGAAACTGAACCCCAACTTCCTGGTGGACTTTGGGAAGGAACCAAATGGCCCAGTCTTGGCCCATGAGCTCCGCTACCCTGGGGGAGACTGCAGCTCTGACATCTGGATCTGAAATTCCTTCTCATCTCCTGTTGCATGTCCTGAGCCCTCACTTCCATCTTTTCACAAGGGACCTGGCTTCACTCTGTTCTCTATTGGCCCCCAATCCCTCATCGCTTGTCTTACCAAAGCTGAACTGAAGCTATTTTAGCATATTGAGAAGTGTCTTTTTTTTAATGGCCTTTGTTGTTTGTCATTCACTGGGCAGTTTCATTCCCACAAACTCTTGGAAGCACCAAGAAATAAATGCTGATCCTGGTCTTCTGAGCCTTTGTTTTTGAGGCCACTTGACCTATGATTCCACTTCTGCCGACCCTTTGTTTCTGACATAAGAAAGGGCTGAAGATGGCTCCAGGGGGGTTATGGTCCAGTAACTATTACAACATGATAGTTTGTTGTTGTTGTTGTTGTTATGTGCCATCGAGTGAGTTGTGACTCACAGCGATCCTGTGTACAACAGCCCTGAAACCTGCTCTATCCTGTGCCAACTTTATTCTTTCTGACTCACCTATCCTCATTCCCCAGTCACTGAATCAATCCATCTCATCCAGGGTCTTCCTCTCCTGCACTGTCCCTCCATCCTCCCAAGCATGATGTTCCTCTCCAAGGACTGATCCCGCCTTGCAACATCCCAAAAGTATGTCAGAGGAAGCCTCAGAATCCTTGCCTCCAAGGAGCAGACTGATTTCACCCTCTCCAAGATGAACCTGTTTGTTCTCCTGGCAATCCATGGTATATTCAATACACTTTTCCAGCACCACAGTGAAAAGACAGCAATTCTCCTCCTATCACCCCTAGTCATTGTCCAGCTTTCTGATGCTTAGCAAGTAATTTTGAAGACTATGGCCTGGATCAGGCACACCTTAGTCTCCAGTCTGACATCATTGCTCTTTGGTACTCTGGAGAGATCTCTTGACAGCCAACTTTCCCAATGCAATTTGTCTCTTAATTTCCTGGCTGCTGGTACCTAGAGTGTTGATTGTGGAGCCAAACAAACTAAAGTTGTGAACAATCTCAATCAATCTCTTCACCGTCTATCCTGATGCTGCCAATTGGCCCAGTGGTGAGAATCTTTGTTTTCTTGATGTGGAGCTACAATCTGTATTGAAGGCTGCAGTCCTTGACCCTCTGCAGCAAGCACTTCAGATCCTTCTCAGTTTCAGCAAGCCGGGTTGTGTCATCTGCATAACACAGATTGTTGATGAGTCTTCTTCCAATCCTGATGCCACACTTCTCATAGAGGCCAGCCTCTCAGATAATCTGTTCTGCATATAGATTAAAGAGGTATGGAGATAGGCTACATCCCTTCCATATCCCCTTCTGATTTTGAACCATGCAGTGTTTCCTTGCTCTGTTCTGATGGCTGCGTCCTCGTCCAAGTATAGGTTTCACATAAGCACAATCAAGTGTTCTGGGATTCCCATTCTTCTCAGAGTCAGCCACAGTTTGTTATGATCCACACAGTCAAATGCCTTTGCATAGTCAATGAAACACAAATAAACATTCCTCTGGTACTCTCTACTCTCAGTCAAGATTCACCTAACACTAGCTCTAATATCTATCCCTAGTACCATCATAGTAATGATGTTAAAATCTCCCTCTTATGGTCGAATATAGCCTGCAGTCTCTGTCTTTCAAAAAGCTAGATCGTCTTGAAACATTATGCAAGATAAAATAAGTCCATCATTAAGGGCAAATATTCTATGATTCCACCTATATGAAACACACCCATTCTTCACTGACTAACATGGTTAAGTTCCAAAGACCAAAAATTAGGGTTTTGTGAAAATGGAAGGTGACAACATCAAACTACGAAATAGAGAATTGACTACGTCATTATACAATTGCCAGATTTCATCATTACATGGATGCTTTCGTGGCCTAGTGATAATAAACTGCACTGCATTCCCAAAGGCATGTGGTTCAAATCCATCAGCTGCTCCAGGGGGAGAAAGATGGTCAATCTCCTCCCATGTGATTAATTGCCTCTGGAAACTCTCTTCAGGGTCAGCTATGGGTCAGTTCCAAGTGGACAGCACACAATAACAACAACATCATTACATAGTTGCCAAACCACTGAAAACAAGTTAGGCTGACACATAACTGCCACAGTACTTTGGTGTTGATTGCTGCCATGTGTACATCATTAATGCATAAAATAGTGAAATAGATGTTCAACTGTTGTCAATTTAAAACATCAACTACCAAAATAAGAAGTGAGGGGTAAGTATACCTAGGATAAGCACATGTATAGAGATAAAAATTCATTAATGGTTACAACAGGAAGAAGAAAGGAGGTGGGAGAGGGACTTACTACATAGGGGACACTGAGCTGTTAAGAGTCATGGGGGAAACCTGGCACTGGATAGTGGTGATAGTTGGAAAACAGGGTAAACATAACAAGTGCCACTGAATTGTACTCACAAAGCACGCTGAAAAGGCAAATGGTTTATTACATTTACACTTACCACACACACCTCTCCAGAGAATAAGTAGAGGGCTATACTGTTACTTTGAAAAGCACACAATTGAATTACTATATTAAATAAAGTTTATCACGTTAAAAAAAGCAAGGTTGGCTGTCACAAGAAGATCTGAAGAGTGGGGTTATCAGTCAATATTTTCTAACATTCATGCTTTCTTTTAATAAACATAAATCTCATCTATCACCTGTAGACATTTTTTTCTTCCATAACTGAAGTGTTTCTTGAGGCTTGTATTCTCCTCAAGGATAGTTATGCGTTACTTACTCCCCACGGCTTGACAAGCTCAAAGACAGTGGCATGTTCTAGTACAAGTCTAAAGTGACGTGGTGCCCATTCAAGGCTCTGGCTGACCTGGTCTTCACACACATCCAGTTCAACGAAGCGCTGCTCCAAGCAGCTGACACTCTGTGTCAACCCTGTCTGCAGGGGGACCAACGGCTCCGGGGACGTAGGATGGGGCCCTAGAACTGCTCCCAGTGCAGCGGGGCGTGATCCACTGATGAAAGGCCCAATTGCAAGCATGCACTGTGGCAGGGTCAACAGCTCCCTCACAACCACAAAAAGGAAATCAGTTCTAAAGGAGTTTGTTGCCTTAACAAAAATAAATTATACCTCATTCAATAAAGACCTCTGGTGCCTTTAATAGTAAGCAGTTGTGCTGCCAATCTAAAGGTTCTCAATTCAAACCTACCAGCTATTCTGAAGGAGAAAGGTGGACGCTTTCCTCCCATGTTATTTATTGCCTCTGAAAACTTGCTCCAGGGTCACCTAAGAGTTGGTTCCAACTCAATGGTACACAACAACATTCAACAAAGAAAACACAAATTGCATTCACAGTGAAAATGGCCCAAGAGTGTCCCCGCCAGCACCTGGGTCCAGCTCCTTCAGGAGTGTCCCAGCCATCACCTGGGACCAGCTCTTCCAGGAGCGTCCCAGCCAGCACCCAGGACCAGCTCCCCCCCAGTTCCTCCAGGAATGTCCCAGCCAACACCCGGGCCCAGTTCCTCCATAAAACACAGCATCACTGGTGTAAAACTTAAAAATGGCCATCCCCTGCCCCTCCCAAAACTGAAGAAAAAAAAAAAAAAGGAAAATCTGCACGTCACCCACCTTCCAGCGGCCTAAGACACTGAGACTCCAAAGGCAGCCCAAATACCCCCAGAAGAGCATTCCCAGAAGAAACAAGCT